TTTTGCTTCTCATCCAAGAAACTTCTTCAGCTCTGACTGGATGGTGGGGAATGGAAGGATTTATAATCCCTGCAGACCATTTGCAGGAACATTTGCGCTTCAGTTTGAGATACAGACAGGACAAAGTCATTCCCAACAGCCTGTGCCTGTGTTCAACAGTAAAGGGACACTGAGCAGAAAACATCCTGTAAAAAGCACAGCTTAAATTCCTCAATAAAAGAAGTAGACAGATTAATTTCACATATTGAGGTTTTGAAAGAGAGAGGAATACATACAGCAAGAGCTGAAATCACTTCTACCAACAAAAGTATTGGAACAAGTCACAGAATTTATAAAGAAGGCACAACTAACACAACAAAGAACGACAAAAAGGCAAAATGTCTGCATGGAGTATAAATCCTTCCATTCCCCACCATCCAGTCAGACCTGAAGAAGCTTCTTGGTTGAGAAGCGAAACGCCTTCAAAAAAACCACAGAAAGTCCAGTTGCCTCTTTGGGGTAGGGTGGGGGAAGCATCTTTAGGATTGCCTTGCTTAGCAATGGAAATTCTGGTCCAGACTGGAATCATAAATCAAGGACTACCTGTATGTAGGTTTTAAAAGCTACAGATCTTAAAAGAGATGGCAGGGATTACAGGTCTGGAAGAAATTAAAATAACTCTTACCATTTTTGAATTTAGAGATGAAACTTTGGAATTGTATTGGGAACTGGCAACCTTATCTAGGGTTAAAATGCCCCCCCCCTAAAAACGAAAGGCATATGAGCAATATTCTGTCACACGAAGCAGTGGACAACAGCTTTTAAACCCTGTTGAATTCCAGCCAAAATGTATCAGATTTTAATTTTCAAAGGCCCTAGTCAACATTGTTAAGCAGCTGGAGGGATTATGTGAAGTACATCTGGAGGGAAAAGTTTGGAAAAAAAACCTGGCATGCAAAATAAAATGAAGCAGCAACAAATGTAAAACAGGTGTAAAATGTTGTGTTTATTTTTTTTACAAGTACAAACAATCTACATTTTTGTGTCCAAACTTTACGTAGGTTATGTTTGCAACATTTTCTGACCAGGGATTCAAAGCGCAAAATTTGGAGGTGTGCAAAAATGAAAATATGTCTGCAGGCCAGTCTATATATTATCTTAGGAAGTGAAAATTGGGTCAGTTTATGTTAAAATGAGAACTGATTGAATTTTGTGTTCCAACTCTGTGGGTGCCTTCAGGATAGCAGTAACACTGAATGAAACAAGATGATTAAAAGGCAGATTCTTCAAATACCCTGAAACCACTGATATTTTTAAAACTTCTCTTATGCTTTTTCTATGAACTCTAATTAGCTGACTTGCTTGGGTTTGTTTCTGGAAGAAAGGAAAGAAGAAAAGGAAAGGGAAAGAGAGAGAGAGAGAAAAGCAGGTGCCAAGCCTTGAGCTGATAGCCAAAGGACATTCAGTAAATGTCCTTACTCTTTCAGTAAAAAGCCCATCACAGTTTAATGAGGTAAAGGGTTAGAAATTTATTACTGTTGGTTTGTGTCATGATAAGGTAGCTTTTGTTCTGCCAGAACACTTTAAAAAGAGACCATTTTCTCTTCAGCTACCCCAAACCACAAATGTGTGCTGCTTTTTACAATGTTGTCATCAGGAATCCTGGTTACAAGAGCCCCTTTCTTTTCTTGAGATCACCCACATGTAGCCTGCTGGATTCAAGATCCCTCTGGTCTCCAGGAAAAGAAGAAGAAGAGAAAAAAAAGATAATAGCTGCCCCACCCAATTCAGTGAAGATGATCTAATACTGGAAGAATTGGCAACTTAAATGTTGCTATAGAAACCCTGACCGAGTGGTTACAGAATCTTAATTTGTAGATAAAAGAGGAAAGCTAGACTGGTCTGTAAGGACCAGTTGAGCAACACTAGTGACATTTTGGAAGGACCCTAATTGTTCAGCTGTGGATTTTGGAACATTAGGTAGAATTTTTTCTCTATTCAAAAGATTATACATGGAAAAGCAAGCCTAAGCTAAGGCAAGAAAGGAAAATCTTGCATCTGTAATTATACATGAGGAATTATTTCATGGGAATAAACAACTTACCGTATCAATGCTCCTGTTCATGCCCTTTGACATTGACATGATTGATATAGGGAGGAAGTAGGTGACTTAGTGCAAGGGTCCCCCAACCCCCCAGGCTGCGTGTTCAGAACTGGGTCGCATCAGTGACTGGCCAGCACACATGTGCAGCTTGATTTGCATGCCTACAGATCAACTTACACAACCGGCAGGCTGGCTCCCTTCTCCCTCCCCATTGGGCCACCAAGCTGTAAAGTTTGGGGACGGCTGACTTAGACATAGTCCTTGACTTAAACCATTCCTTTAGCAACTGTTTGAAGTTACATGCACTTTAAAAAAAAAGACAAATTCTAGTACACATGGCTGTCATAGCCTGGTTCCAATGACCAGAATTTGGGCATATATTTATGACAGTTGCAGTGTGTTGGGGATTATGTGATTATCATTTGCAATCTTCCCGGGGGGGTGGGGCTTCCAATGAAGTCAATGAGGAAAGGTGGATTCGCTTAACAGCTCTGTGATTCACTTAACAACTGCAGTTGTTGACCAATTGTGTCATTAGTCAAAGAATACCATTTTTGCTATATTGTATTATTGTCCATACAATAATGTCCAGTTAGAAAGTCTGATAAAAGTCTAGACAACATTGAAATTTAAAAACCTTAGCACAAGTAATTGGAAAGAGATCCCAAACCAAAGAAAGATGAACATCATATTAGGTATTCTTCCTAGAAGCTGTTAAAAGTTTTAAACTATAGTTTGATTAATGGCTTACATATTGCGAACTAAAACCACTTAATTCAGTAGGATGTGTGTGTGTGTATTTTGCACACACACATACACACACACACAAATATATTTATTCCAGCTTGTCTTAATAGCTGGATAATTTACTAGATTCAAGGAGAAATGTTGAAAGATGTATTGTTATGATTGTCATATAAGCCATGGAGCTTTTTGGATTTGAATTCAAACGCTACTTTGAAATGCACTATGGAGCTCCTGTCTCTTAATTCCTTACTTCTGTAGAAAAGATATAAATCTGAAAAATAAATAAAACTCTCACAATTGTTAGCCAGCAGTGATAGGAGGCTGGGAATTCGTGTCTCACACACTTGAAGGGCACTGTGAATTGAGAGTTGCTACCTGACATTTTTAAAGTATCTTCCAAAGATAAGACACCGGAGTGGTTTCCAGATATTTTTTTTCTTAATGGCAATATAGTACATGCAAGGTCTTTTGATATAGCGTTTGGTTTGATGGAAGTTAAAGTTCAATGGGCCACCAGATTGCCTGTTCTTGTGTCTGGATCAGACACAGATTACACAAGCCCAGGATGCTCAAAGAAAACCAAAGCCTTTGAACTCTCTCCTCTGTTCCTTTGCCTAAGTTCCACTTATCATCAAGGTCAGACTTAATCACTTTGCAGTTATGTTCTCTGCTGCTTTTCTGAAGCTTTCTGTACAGATTAAGAGATGCTTTTCGATGGTGACATCTTTTGATTTGTAATGGAGAGCTATGATGCGCCTAGGATCCAAAGATTGTTAAGTGTCTTGAAAATTGCCCAGTAAAGCAAGCAACACTTAATGAGAATAGGGAGGATAATGGGCTGAAGTAGAGATAGCATTAGTGATACAAACTGCTCACAACTTTGTTTTGAAAGGAAAACATGTGCATGAGCTGTCCAGCAATTTGGAAAAACAGTTCCATGTTTATTTTACCCCTTGAAACATAATGGAATAACAACTCTCTTGTTCTTCATTAAACATTAAAGAGTTTTTTTGGAGAAGGGAAGGGGAATAGAAGCCGAAGGGAAATGAAAAAGTGAACAAGGCTTGAGTGGTTTAACGTTGTTTTCTAAATCACTTTTATAGGATGCAAAATACGTAATTAATTTAAGGAGGTTATATTTTCCTGTGCACCATGAATGGGATATCAAACTCTGCAAGGTGAGGGATGCGCTATCCCAATCAAAGCCCTGCCCTCTTTGCACAGCCACAAGTCATACCCAAAAGAGACTGAATCACAGTGAAATCTTACCATCTTGCTGTTTCTGTTTGCTACCCAAAGATGCTACTGGATTTTATTGCATTGATTGGATAAAACCTGCATCAATAGTTTTATTTTGGAATGTGGTTGTCAATGATTTTCACAAAATATAGCTTTGGTTTTTTTAAAAAAAGAAAGGAAGAAAAAATTAATTGGAATTTGGGGATTAAAAAGGAGGCAATCAAGTTGGTGAAAATACAGTAGAAAAAAGAAACTGGAACTACGTAAGTCAGTCAGTCACAGAAATATAGAAAGAAGATAAGGAGACATAATTAATATATTTTCATTTCAGTTTTTCAATTTCTTCTATTTTTGTTTCTTGTTTACTATTTTTCTTAGCCTTATACATTTTGTTATGCTGAAATATTCTAATTGAAAATGTTCACAAATAGCTTTGATTTCTGTTTTACAGAATCATAGTCTTTTAACCATTCGTTTCTGCCATCCTTGATTGACCTATTTATCCTACCTGAATTTATGGGGTTTATTTTAGAGTGGATGTGTACAGGAGTATGCTGTTACTTTTCAATTTCAAGAAAGTGAATTTATAATTTTTCCTATATTTGCATAGGTTTAAATCTACTGGAATATGAATATCGGATGAAAAAATTCTCCTGATCTTAAATTTTTTCCGTAGAAATGCCTCCCTTGGATTTGTCAGTGAAAGATTTGATGAGTTCTAGATTACAGCCAATATAATAAAGTTGTTGAAAGCTAAATAAGATAAAACATAAAAATACACATTTTTCAAAGTCATAAAAATAGAAAATAATAGTTAATAAAGCAGTCAGTGCAAACTACCAAATCACAAGAAATGTTCCTATTATCTCAGTTCTTTTTTTGTTCATACAGATGCTGGAAATAAAATACCATATAATGTCTGTTTTTGCAGAACGACCAATCTATGGAAGATACTCGGATCATAGGAGGAGATGACTTTTCAAAACTGTTTGAAAAGGTTGGTAGACATCTTAAAGGATGAGTTTGTTTTAAAAACTGCTTATTTAATAATGAAAATAAACATTGAATATAGGAATGTATAAATGATTACTTATAAATACAGGGAATCCTTGTTCAGTGATTACTCATTCAGTGAACATTCAAGATTACAATGAGGACACTTACAGACATTCCTTGTAATTGTGGATATCACACTATCCCTGCAATCATATCATTACAATTCAGGACTTGGCAACCAACATGCATTCACTGCCTTTTCAGCATCTCACAATCTCATGATCATGATTTCTGGTCTTCGTTACCAGCTTCTACAAGCAAAATCAATGAGAACCCTAGCAAGAGATCACGAATGGCGATCATGTGACTTTGCATTTAACAATCACAAGGATTTGTTTCATGGCCACCACTATAACTGTCATACGTCCATGCAGTCACATGACGTTGTACTTTACATCTGCATCATTTAGTGGATGTTATTGCTGTCATTAAGCAAGGGACCTCTGTAATAAATTATCAATACTTGATCCATTTTTTAGTGCTCTAATATCCTTCTGAGGCCTGGGACTCTTGCAGCCCCCATCATTCCCACAGTACACCCACCATGAATTCAGCTAAAAATATAATTGTGTATGTGATTGCATTTGAATGCCATGATAAACTATATATATTTTTCCTAAATCCACCAGATGTGTTGAACTTGGTTCCCATAATTGTTTTTGTTCTGCTGGCAGAAAATTTACAAAAGCTTGAAGAGACTATGTTTGGGATGGCTGACTTCTTATGATGGGTACAACCCTTAGTAACCTATCTTGTATAGGCATATTTTCCTACCAACACAGCACAACTTAACTATGATTTATGATGCCATTCAGTGGCTAAACTATGGTTTAACTTTATCTGAAACAAGTTAGCTTCATATCTCCTGGGCCTAAACACAATTTCAGATTTCAACAATATGACTAATTACAGTTTATCAGAAATGGAAACAATTGTTAGAACATGGTTGAAGAAGGATGCACGCGAGCCTAAACCTTGCGTAACTTGTCTCTGTAATTATGAACAATAACTTATTGTGATGTCTGAAAGCAGCTATTGTCTGTTTGGCTTCACAATGTATCATTACATTGGTCTTGGCAGTAGTTCTCCGTTTACAGATCTTGCCAATTGATGGTTTGTTGGACAAGTTAGCAACAAGCAAAGTCACTTGCTGGGTTGATACATTGTCCTAAGCTACAGTCCATGTTGTTGGATGAATGGGGCATGGCTGTGCAGCCATTGTAATTTCTAAACTGTAATTTATAGCTTAAGGCTATGTATTTACCAGCTCAGGCTTACAGACAAAGTAGCCATGTAGTTTTTGTGGCCTATATCCAGTCTGTTTTCTGCCTCAAACTGCTCCTGCCTGCTGCATTTATGGATTGGCTAGAGGCTTCAACAAGTTCAACAATCCCCCCCCCCAAACACATACATTGAGTGCATGTGTGTGTGTGTGCGTGCGCATATGCACGCACATGTGTGTGTGTGTGTGTGTTAATCAATCAAACTTCTTAACTGTACATTTTCCTCTTGGCGGGGCTATGGGCAGTGTTCAATTTAATCAATATAATAAAACATTAAACATTGAATAAGGATTTTAAAAAATTAAAATGTAAAAAAACCAATATTATAAAATTAGCAAAAATCTAGAGTTCCAAGATGGGGAGACTAGGAGTTGTTAATACAGGTGGCAGGGGTTTCTCACGCGGCCAACCAGCGCCCTCCATACAAGGCCTTCACAGCCAAGTGTTGACTCCTTTGCAGAAGGCCAATCAATTGGGAGCTTTCCTCACTTCTGAGGGCAAGATGTTCCACAAAGCAGGGGCAATAGCAGGAAAGTCTTCCTTGAACTCTGCCAGTCAAATTCTTTGACTGACAGGGTCTATACCATGCCTTTTCTACCAAATTGAGTGGGACAGGCTGATGCCAATAGGGTAAAGCCAGTTCCATAAGGAGCCAGGCCCTGTGCCCTATAGCCGTGATGGTGAACCTATGGCACACGTCTTACAGGTGGCATGCAGAGCCTTCTCTGCAGGCACTCGAGCTGTTGCCCCAGCTCAACTTCACTGTGCATGCGGCTCCCACCAGCAAGCTGATTTTCAGGTCTCTGTCGCACATGGCCAGGGGGCCGCACCCCTGTGCCCCATCTTTGCTCCCAGGAGGCTGCAGGGGAACTACTAGGCTCAAAATGGGGTGTGGGGGTGCAGTGCAGGCCCCCCGTGGCCCATTTTTGCTCCCAGAAGGCTGCAGAGAGGCCTACTAGGCCCAAAATGGGGTGCAGGGGATTTTGTGCCCATGCTCAGGGGGGCAGGGGGTTGCGCACATGCGCAGGAGGACCAAGGGGGTCACGTGCATATCCACAGGGCGGGATGAGTGGGACGGAGTCACATGCACATTGCATTATGGGTGCAAGCCCACACGTGTGCTGTTGCATGTGCATGCGTGCACTTTTGGCACATGATAACAAAAAGGTTAGCCATCACTGCCCTATAGGCTTTCATAGGTAATAATCAACACTCAATAATCAACAATCAAATTGGACCCAGAAGCAAACTGGAACACAGTGCTGTTCATGGAGCGATGATATTTATTATATGTGCCCTTCTCTGGATACCTAGTACAGCTTGTGTGGCTTCATTCCACACCAATTGAAGCTTCCGGATACTTTTCGTGTGTGTGTGTGTGTTTCTGTTTGTGTGTGAGATATGTATATATTATATTCATATCTAATGTTCAATTTAATTCCATTCATTAAATCATCAACCTATGATTACTAAAAAAGATCATAATTTATTCATTGAGCCTCTTCTGTGCTTCGTGCTAAACCAAATAATAAATACTGTTTCTGGTTTCCAGAGTCATCAAAATAGGCAGTAAACTACAGAACTTTTTAATGGTTTCAGTTATTATGACTATTCCATTTCTAGCACCTGGAGAACAAGTTGTATTTCTTTTTCCACTATATTTGAACATAATTATTTGACAAGGGGAAGGAGAGTGAGGGATGGAAACTGTTAAAGTACAAAACGGAGATGTCCAATGACATGTGATGATGCAACTACGTGTGATGATTCCATCATGTACCATGTTATTTTGTGTACAATTGTGTTTTGTTATAGATGTGCTGCAAGGGCTAAGCCATACAAAAGATGAAAGATTTATTTCACTGTGTTCAGAACATTGGGGTCATAACCAAGTTTGGTCTAGTGGTTAACACATCAGGCTAGAAACTAAAAGACTGTGAGTTCTAGTCTCCCCCTGCCCTTAGGCTGTGTGAGTTTGGGCCAATTACTAAGAGACCATGAGTTCAAATTCATTCATAGGCTGAGTGATTTGTGGCCAGTCACTATCTCTCAGTCCATTCATCTCACAAAGTTGTTGTTATGGGAAAAATATGAAGATGGAGTATTGCGTGCATTTGTTGCCTTGAGTTATTTGTAAACATAATAAAGGTGGATCATATCAAACCTCAGAGTAAATTTAGGAAGGGTAATAACAAAATTAATTTTCCCAAGAGTACAATTATTCCGTGATAATATCATGACTTTTAACTAGTTAAATATTTCATTTAATTTTAATTTCTTTTAATGAAGTAATTGATTATATTATATTACATTTTCCTTTACCAAAATCTCAGACTTTTAATTACTGAAGAAGATATGAGATGAATGTATAATTTGTTCAGTAAAATTGCCACTGACAATTATCTGTAAGAGAAAAGTCTATATATAAATTTTTTATTCTGCTAACATATCCAAAACAATTTTTAAGTAGCTTAATTGCTTTATTATGAAAGAAAATTGTTATGATTGAAATGTTCCTTTCTGGCTTTTTAAAAAAAGCAATACATTTGACATTGATTAGTGCCCAATCCTCTACATTCAAAATTTGTTGAATTATTATTTTCAGACAAGTGTTTAAAGGATTGCAGTCTTACAAGTGCATTGGGTGTCTATCTATTATATTTTGTTCAGCAGCATTGGCTTCTGATAAATATATCAGATTGCTATCTTTATTAATTTAACTGACTTACAGCTTAAACATATTTCTTACAATTGTTTAATGGTGCTTATTCCCACGTAAAAATCTCACCCTAAACCTATAATCCTGTGTAAATCATTAATTTTCTCATCTAAAATATTGATTGGTTAAATTCAGAATTGATCATGGGAAAGAATTTGTGCGTATATTATCTGATAGTTTAATTCTAGAATCAAGATTGCCATGTTTAGTTGATAGCACTTTCATCATCTGAAGTCAATGCTCATGGTTCCATTGTCAGAAGTGATGGAAATGGTGATAAGCCAGAGACCTTTTTGGTATGGATGATCTGATTAAGAAATACCTGCCTTAGCTGTCATTTACTCATCTGCCTCATTTTTACCAGATAACTGAAGGGAGAAATTCTTGCAAAACAAAAAAGTATAAGTTCTGAAGCCCTTGTGAGTTGACATACAAAATCTAACCACTCTGCCCTATTACTGAAATAGACTGTGGAACTGCACATTAACTCAAAGCTATAAAAGACATTTTTATGGAAAAATATGCCACATGAAAGTTTAAAAGCCAACTTTATAAGATGCACAGCTTTATAAGATGTACATTTTTGTGCAAAACCACAAAATAAGATTCCAGTGAATAGCACAAAAATAGAAGACGAGTAAATATTTTACCATCCAGCCGTCCAGGTGTTTTCATTGGTCTAGGATGAATTAGTTCTTTATCACTAATATATTATGGCTTCTGCTTTCCTTTCTAATAATATTATGCATTCCTCACAAAGATTATAGAAGTGAATCAATAAATATTTTCAGTTAAACGTGCAGCAGCCTTATCTGTCAAAAACAAAGTGGTTCATAAACAGTACATATTTTATTTTTGTAGCTACTTACAGATGGTCCGTATCAAACTACTTAAGATTAGAAAATGAGTAGACATTTTTCAGGGTATTTTTAAATTTTTATTTTGCCAAAGTAGGCTTACATGCCACTTTTTGAGATGTATTAAACAGAGAAACTAAATATTAACTCCAAGTTTACCTCGTTGATTTTGTGGGAGAAAAAAGATTGCTGGTCTTCAGGTAATCAAGACCAGTTTTTTGCAAATTGGTGGGTAGGATTCAGATCCAAAGCAGATAAAAGTGGTTTGGAAAGTAAACCCCATGTTCCTCTTCTTAGATGAGTACTTTCCACAGAAAACAACAGCCAACTCTTTGGGGAACAAGAGAATAAAAACATATCATTTTTGGATTATGCTGAAAGAGGTCCCTTAGTGTGTTTCCCATATGTTTTCCAATTGCTTTCATGAAGAAGTGGTCAGGGATGGTTCTTGGTCTATCACTATTTGCCAAAAGGAGAGTCAAAATTCCATTATTAATTTTATCTACCTTCAGAAAAGTATAACCTGAAGTATTCAGCCCTTGAGTTCTTCTTTTACAGCCCCTGAGGGCCCCTCCAACAAATCCCAAAACACTAGGCAGAGCAGCTTCCTGCCATTTTAGGTAGAAAACCCAAATCCACATTCCCAAATGGGCCTAACATTGTTTCTAGAAACTCCTCTTTAAAAACAGAAGATCCTGACCCTGGCCTTATATATGGCACAATCTCAACCATCTCGTATCATTTTCCCTCCCACCGTGGTTCTCATTATTGTCCAAAATCTAGAAGCCCCAATTAAAGTCATTCATCCACTATGTTTAGTGCAAATTTGCTTAGGAAATGGGAATGGAAAAGAATGGAACTCGTTCCTCCTGTGCTGTTTTCATTCAAAAATTATCCTGAAGACATCCATTGGCTCAAGCCCCACAGTTGACTTTTCCTGTGAAAAATGTTCTATGTCAAGCACAGTAATTGAAACATTCTGCCAAAATACTTTGAACTTTTCATCTTTTTCTCCATTTTAGTTCCTTCTGTTCAGTTTGCCTTAAAAAGGCAAAATAATTGGCCTTTAGTGACAATTTTAAATTAGAATGGGAATCCTGCATCTTGGAGTCTGCGTGAGGACATCTGCCCTATTTGATATGACACTAATTTCATGAAATTCACAACTGGGTAGCCTAAACAGAAATACAAAGGCGAGGGAAACTAGAAAAGCATAAGGTGCTAAAAAACCTGGTAGTGATGCAAACTATATCCTGGTTAGACTTTAACTCCACCTGCCATTATCTTTGTCCATGGTTGGCTTTTACAGTTAAGTACTGGAATGATATCCCTGCTGCCATCTATCTGACTCCCATCCACCCATGTTCCAGAAATCTTTGTAAAATTGGCTGTTCTCCAGGCCTCAGATAGAATATGTCAGACCTATATTAGCTTTATTGCAACAAAAACTTGTAAGTCTGAAAGCACTTCTGCCTTTTTTTTACTTTCCAGAAAATTGGTGGGTGGGTATGGGTTTTTTTTTTAGAATGTTGCTCATGCCGTCTGATCTTCTGAGGGTAAAATGCCCTTTTCATGATGTCTGGGCTATGGCTCTTCCTCTTGTCTTCCAAGATCATTGTCATAGTCCATTGCAGATGGGCTATGAACCTCAATTAGTTTAGAAGAAACTTCTTGGATGAGAAGTGAAACATTTTCAAAGAAAAAAAAAAACTAAGAAATTCCAGTTGCCTTTTGAAAAAAAGTATCCTTAGGATAACCATGACCTGGATGATTGAGAATCTCCATAGACACTCAGTTAGTTTTATTTTCTGTTGTAGACGATGTGTTGGCTGGCTGCTGGACATTTTAAAAATTGTTTTCTAGTCTTACTATAAATTAGCATCCTCTAAATTTCAAACATATATAAAAAAATCAATGGTTCATCACAGAAAAGAAGTTTATGGCCTCAGTGTTGGATCCATTGTCTGCAATGCCTTTATCTGGATCTCCTTTATCCACTTTAGCCAGAACTATACTTTACACAAGACCAAACTGCCTTATGGGCTGTTCTGACATCAGATATGATGGATTTAAAGGAGACAAGACATATTGATATATTGTGTATCAGTTCATGGAAGATCAGGCTGTTACTTTTGACTTCTGAGATTGCTAGATGTACGTACTTGGCCATTGTGTGGCATATATTAACAATATTTCAGGACAACTCTCCTTATATTTACATATAATGATTCAATTAGAACAGAGCTGGAAGGGACCTTGGAGGTCTTCTAGTCCAACCCCCTGCTCAAGCAGGACACCCTATTTCAGATAAGTAGCTGCCCAGTCTCTTAAAACCTACAGTAAATGAAGCGGCTAAACTTCTGAAGGCAAGCTATTTCACTGGTTAATTGTTCTCACTGTTAGGAAATTTTTCCTTAGTTCCAGGTTCCATTCTTTCTTTCTTGCCTTCTGGTGCTTTGGAAAATAAGTTGACCCCATCTTCTTTGTGGCAGCCCCTCATATACTGCAATACTGCTATCGTGTCACCCCTAGTCCTTTTCTCTGGACTGGCCATAACCAATTCCTGCAACCATTCTTAATATGTTTTAGATTCCAAGCCTTTAATCACCCTAGTTGCTCTTCTCTGCATTTTTTTCCAAAGTCTCAACATCTTTTTTGCAATGTGGTGGCCAATATTGGATGCAGTATTCCAGGTGTGCTTTTACTAAGGCTTTATAAAGTGGTACTAATACTTCATGTGATTTTGATTCTATGCCTCTGTTTATACAGCCAGGGATTATATTAGCTTTTTTGACTGCTGCCGCACATGGCTGACTCATGTTTAAGTGATTGTCCACTAGGAGTCCAAGGTCCCTTTCACAGTTATTTGATGTTTTTGAGCCAAGTTTCACCTAATTTGTATTTATACTTTTGGTTTTTCCTGCCTAAGTGTAAAACCGTTTTTTTCTCAACCTTAACTTTCATTTTGTTAGATAGGACTCTATATTCAAGCCTGTCAAGATCCATCTGGATCTTGAGCCTGTCTTCTGGGGTATTAACTATTACTGCTCACCAAGAAGTAGATTGTGGTCTACTTTGTCAAATGTCTTACTGAAATCTAAGTATATACTATGTCCACAGCATTTCGCTGGTCTACTAATTTAGGCACTTTGTCAAAGAAAAAATGAAATGATTCTTTAAAGAAGAGCCAAGTTCTGCAGAATTGTAAACACCGCTCTTCAGTCTACTTTCTTACCTGAAGTGTAGTTGTTGGCTTTCCTTGCTAAGAATACAGGAAAGTAGGGACAAGCTCTGCTTTTCTGAACAACTGCAGCTCAGGACACATGAATCTTCTAAATCTGATAAAGATCACTCCTTGGCCAAAACTTCCTTTCCTTTTTTTAAGGGAAGCTTCCAATCTAAACCTCAACAAAGAACCTAGAAATGCTGCCAACTTACACACTTGTTAGAAAACCCAAATTCTTCTGCTTCTTTACAGTTCTCCAAGACAAAGAGGCTGGCAGCTATGATTTGCGGCTGGCATTGAAATTCCCAGTTCCATGTTCAGCTTTCCTTGCTGCCATGCAGCAAGCAGCTACTTGCTTGCCAATATCATTAACATAGCTGCAAGTTTTGGTTTAGGAGAGAAGATGATTGTGTTTATTTTGAAGCAGAATAAAAGTTGGGGGTATTAGAAAAAGGAAAACCGCTTTGTGCATAACTGAATCCACATCTCAACCTTCAGAATGGAACGTCTACTTTCTGCTCATTGTTAGCAACATGTAAATTGCTAGGTTCTATTGTGCTGTCACAATTGGACTGACTGTTCCAGTTTCAGAGATTTTGTTGTTAGAGCTTTACAAATACTGACCTTACAAATGGTTTTGAACTAGGAGAAAATTGACTGTAGTTTTCTTTTTCATCATGAATTGATTTTTACCTCCTCTCAAGAATGTTTGAAGTTTGGAGCTTTTCTTGGCAAAGAGGATATAGAATTTTGCTACCAATTGCCTATTTAAAAACAAAATGCTGCCTTTGCCATGAATTAGGACTTAACAACAATATCTCATAGTTACTGCAAAGAAATGGCTGGCATATGATTTCAAGTTAATTTCAAAATAAATTATGCTGCTAATTAAAATCTTGGTACTCCCAAAGGTGCTTTTTCAAGAGGCAACTGGACTTTCTGATTTTTTTCTTTGAAGACGTTTCGTTTCTCATCCAAGAAGCTTCTTCAGAGCTGAAGCTGAAGAAGCTTCTTGGATGAGAAGCAAAATGTCTTCAAAAAAAACCCAGAAAGTCTAGTTGCCTCTGGAAAAAGCACTTTTGGGACAACCATGATCCGGATGACCGAGAATTTCTATGGACATTTTACATCTTGGTAATTTGCTGCCTGATAGGGAAGGATTTCACCACTACCACCTTTTCTAGTCTCTATATGAAATACATTTCATCCTTTCTTTTTAAAGGATGAAACGTATTTGTGCTGTATTTTTCAGACAATCCCAAACTAACTTGAGATTAATTTCTGGAAAATCTATAACAATGAGATATGGAGGCATTTCAGCTAATGATATAGGTTAGTATTGGGACCTTTCCTTCCAAAAACAGGGAGCACAAACAATTGTAGGTAGGCTGATGGCTTAGCTGGTGGAAATGATGCCACTACATTGCAAGAGGTTATAGATGTGAAAGCTATAAGGTACAAGTTCATCTGAAGCTGGTCTACTGAATGATATTGTGTAAATCATTTTCTTGAGACTGCGTAGGAAGCAAGCAGTTCTTTCCTTTTATAGTTCTTCTCTTCTGGCTTTTGGGGGGGGAAAAGTTTACATGGGACCTTACCGGCAAGTCAGTCAGTCTTCTATCCACATCTGCAATGTAAGCTTGAAGCTGCTGCTAATCTGCAACGCTGTATGTGAAGTATGAACTAATTAGAAAATGTTGGGAATTGTGATGATAAAATACAGATATGCAGGTAGTCCTTGACTTACGACCACAATTAAGTCCAAAATTTCTGTTGCTAAGTGAGACATTTGTTAAGTGAGTTTTGACCCATTTTACCACCTTTCTTGCCACCATTTTTATGTGAATCACTGCAGCTGTTAAGTTAGTCACACAGTTGTTAAATTAATCTGACTTCCCCATTGATTTTGCATGTCAGAAAGTCGCAAATTGTGATCACATGATCCTGGGACGCCGTCATAATTATGAGGCAATTGCCAAATGTCCAAACTTTGATCACATAGCCATGGGGATGCTGCAATAGTTATAAGTGTGAAAAACTGTCATAAGTCACTTTTTTCAGTGATGTTGTAACTTTGAATGGTCACTAAATGAACTGTTGTAAATCGAGGACTACCTATAGTGTTTGCTAACACAAGTTTTTAATTATATTCAAGTGCTTATATTATTACCAATTTAATTTAGTTCAGCTTTCAAGACAGTCCAGTAAATGTTTCTAAAATAGCACATTAGTAGTTTTAGAGTGCACATTTATACAAAGCAAGATTTTGAGAATAGGGTGGACAATCAAGATTACCCATTAGAATCCCTGTAAATCAGAATAATTATTTTAATAAAGTCTTCAGACTTTTTTCCCCCACATGCACTTAATCAATGCACAAAAATCCAATGGCAACATATTATTTTGTTGACCGTGCCTCTTTATCTCATCCCCAGGCTATCAACAAGAGAGGCTTAAGTTATCTTTAGCTAAAGTAATATTGAAGTAGTCTTATCCCTCTTATTCCAGTGCAGTCCAAGGACAGACAAGATACTGTGGACATAATATATTTAGATTTCAGCAAGGCATTCGATAAAGTAGACCACAACCTACTAGAAAAAAGTGGAATAGATAGCACCACCACTAGATGGACTCGCAACTGGCTGGAAAACTGTACTCAACGAGTAGTCCTTAATGGGTCTAAGTCTACATGAAGTAAGCAGTGGGGTGCCACAAGGTTCTGTCTTAGGCCCAGTACTCCTCAATATTTTCATTAACGACTTAGATGAGGGAATAGAAGGGGAACTTACCAAATTTGCAGATGATACTAATCTGGCAGGAATAGCTAACACCCAAGAAGATAGGCTCAAGATCCAGATGGATCTTGACAGACTAGAACACTGGGCCATATCTAATAAAATGAAATTCAATGTAGAGAAAAGTAAAGTCCTACACTTAGGCAAGAAAAACCAAAAGTACACATATAGACTGGGTGAAACCAGGCTCAACAGCAGTAACTGTGAGAGGGATCTTGGAGTCTTTGAGTCTTAGTGGACAACCAGCTAAATATGAGCCAGCAGTGTGCAGCAGCTGCCAAAAAAAGCTAATGCAATCCTAAATTGTATTAACAGAGGGATACAGTCAAGATTAAGGGAAGTACTAATACCACTCTATAAAGCCTTAGTAAGACCACACCTAGAGTACTGCATCCAGTTTTGGTCACCACATTATAAAAAAGATGTTGAGAGTATAGAAAAAGTACAGAGAAGAGCAACCAGGATGATTAGGGGACTGGAGACTAAGGCATATGAAGAATGATTACAGGAACTGGGCTTGGCTAGTCTAGTGAAGAGAAGGACCAAGGGAGACATGATAGCAGTCTTCCAATATTTGAGGGGCTGCCACAGAGAGGAAGGGGTCAAGCTATTTTCTAAAGCACCTGTAGGCCAGACAAGGAATAATGGATTGAAACTGGACAAGGAGAGATTTAACCTGGAAATAAGGAGAAACTTTCTGACAGTGAGAACAATCAACCAATGGAACAGCTTGCCCTCGGAAGTTGTGGGAGCGCCATCAGTTGAGACTTTCAAGAAGAGATTGGACTGCCATTTGTCAGAAATGGTGTAGGGTCTCCCGCTTGGGCGGGGGGGGTTGGACTAGATGACCTACAAGGTCCCTTCCAACTCTGATTATCTGTATCTGTAGATATAAAAAACCTGCTAGGCTTTGGATAGAAGTCAAGCAATTACAATGACTTGAAACAGGCAAAAAAATCAGGATAAGGATCAGAAGCCAAGACAGTAAATGCTATTATAGTTTTCTGCTGATTCAGGGATAGGTAGAGAACATTTCAGTTTAACAATGGAGAAAGGCTTATCAGATACCTATTCTCAAATACCTGATTTACATATCAAATTAGAAGAAAGCATCTTCCTCAGCTGCCTTTGATTAAGAATTATCAATTTTTCAGTTTTTTTATGATAACAAAGCATTGTTAAGAAAATAACTCAATGGCAGTTTCATTTGTGTCCTGTGAGGTAATAACGTTTATGAATTGCTATTGGGTTTAGCTGATTTGATCTTCATTGTTGTTCACCTGTAAAATATGGATTATCTTGTTAATATTTTAATCTTTTATATGGTCTTAGATTTCTACGGAGTCTTATAACTCGTATGTAAAGAAAGTGGACTTGAAGTAGAACAGGCATTCCTGTAAACAGAGGGCTAGCCATGATGAAAGGGTAGAGAACCAGAAAGCAATTATGTGGTTGAGATGCTAAACAAATGAAGTGTGTTCTCAATTACTTTAACTAAATGTTTTTCTCCTTATTTTGCAGAATGTGCTTATTGTGGAGGTAAGTTCATATATTTGGCTATGTCAAAGAGAAGTTTGCATGAATTTCATATTTTATTCTAATTAGAGAAATACCAGTAATTTTTGAATGGCTGGCTAAATGCCAAACAATAATAAAACTTGATAATTTAAGTAAAAGTGCATATAGAATATTTGTGAATCATCTATTTAAAATTCTAGATTTAAAAAGTTATTGGAAGAGTGGACCTTTGTTTTTACAATAAACAAATATATCACTGAATTATTTTTAAAAATTAACAATATGTTTTATGTCTATTGTTAATATAACTTAACTTTTAGAATATTAATATACAGCATTTTACATTGCTTTGCTAACATTGTTTGTACATTTTACAAAGGACATCATTGGGACTGGAAGGACTATGAAAGCACTCCTGGACAGTATTAAAAAACATAAACCCACAATGGTTAAGGTAGCAAGGTAAGTGTCCATTTGGAAATAATATATTTAGGCTTAAATCAGTCTGGTGCCAAGTCAAAATTTCCTTAACTTTGATTTGTTTGCTAAATTCAAAAGTAGTATCAAACCACAATTTGCAACCATTTTGCCAGTGTTAATATTTGGTTCTAATCGAACAGCTGAACAACCATATTAGAATTTAGGAGAAGGAACTAGGCATAGCCTGTCTCACTCTCTGCTCTTGGTATTAAAATATTAGGGTGTGTTTGTGAAAGCTCTCTATTGGCACTGAAAGATCAACATGGGGTCATTTTGCATGATCAAAGTTAGAAAGAAAACGAAAGACCACATTGATTAGATTTAGAAGGTGGAGAGATATGATACAGTCCTTCTGTTTACTGGGAAGTAAGTTAAATTATTTTTAATCAGTATCAATTCTAAGTAAGTATTAAATAATTAATTTCTATGGCTGCATTTCCATGTAAAGCAGATTTTTTTGCTTGACAACCTAACAACAAATGCCTAACAACATTTGGCATCTTAGTGGTGTATTAAGGATCAAAAATAGAAATCAAGGCAATAAGCTGATACAACTAGAGCAAAAAGTAAATTTGATTTAATTTTACATTTGAATATAATTAAAATCAAATAAAGTTAGTATAGCTTGCATGATTGATTGTCAGGTAGTTATCATACTTAAAAAGCATACTTTTATTTCCAGGTTAAATCTCTTCTTGCTCAGTTTCCATCCATTATTCCTTGTCTGGCCTACAGGTGCTGTAGAAAATAGCTTGACCCACTCCTCTCTGTGGAAGCCCCTCAGATATTCAAACACTACTATGATGTCCTTCTCTTCACTAGACTAGCTAAATCCAGTTCCTGCAACCATTCATCGTATGTTTTAGCCTCCAGTTCCCTAATCATCCTGGTTGCTCTTCTCTGCCCTTTTTCTAGAGTCTCAACAACTTTTTTATAGTGTGGTGACCAAAACTGGATGCAGTACTCTAGGTGTGGTCTTACTAAGGCTTTTAAAAGAAGTTTTGGAAGCATCATCCAAGGTTTGAACATCCCTGATGAAGAGATTATTTACCACAGTGTAATACCAACAGTTTTCTATATGGAATGTCTATGATGTCATCTGATGCGGATGACAAAAGGCCGGAAAATAAAGACAGAATATTGATTGGGATTTTGTCCTGATTACTATTTCAACATCTCATATAGCAACCAGAAATATCAAGATGCTGAATACAAAGTCCAGTGGAGTGAAAACAGAATAATGTCGGGAGATCAATTAGTAGGCTAGAAACTAGGTTTCTCAAGTAGCTATGGGGAAGTAGCTATGTTTAAGAAAAGAAGGGAAACCGTGGTAATATTCTTCACATACTTGAAAAGGTATCACACAGAGTAAGCCATTTTTGCCCTAGAATGCAAAGCATTAAATGATAGCCTTAAGTGACAAGAAGGTAGATTCAGTCAGCCATTAGAGAAAATTTCTCAATGCTAAAAATAGTTTGACAATAAAGTAAATTATTCAGAAAACAGTGGGTTCTCTTTGGTGGTTGTCTTCATGCAGAAGTTGAATATACATTTATTTGGGATATTTTAACCTGGATTTTTACACTGAACAGAAAGCTTCTTAATTCTGTGGTTCTAACTTCTGCTGGAAGGGAAAACAGAAGACCAAAGTTCCAACTGTGCAGTGTCCACTTAAAAGAAGCAATTAGCATTTGAAGAGGGTCACTGCTCATTCAAAGAGACATTATTATGTCTATACTTCGGCTTCAAATAAGGCAGGATGGCCGTTCATAATATGGGCCATGGTTCACTTTAGTGAATCTTTACTTGTATGGGACAAATTATTTGAAACTTTTTTAAATCATGGAAACATTTTGTTCTTTATTTAATTGCAGCTTGTTGGTGAAAAGAACAGCTCTACCAGATGGATTCAGGCCTGATTGTAAGTCACTTTCTGTGAATTACTTTGTATTCAAGGATATTCAAGAAAACTTCCATTCTCAAACTAAACAAATTACCTAGGAATTAGGATGCACTTTAAAAATGTTATTAAGAACAGACCAATTGTGAAAATGCCCTATGCTCACCTGAAGTGTTTTCTTTCCCTTTTTAACACATATTAGGCTCTTTGACTTGTTCATCTCTAGTAGAATAATAAATCAAAACAAAATATCAGATATAATTTCCTGGTCAGTTTAGCTGCTCCTCTTGACAGAATCAGGAGTAATAAAAGAGGAAGCATCAGTTTGTTCTTGATGTAGCCATCAAAAATCTCTGCCTTGTCTTGTACTTGGCATGTGTGAATTATAGTTCCCTGTGTGTCTCGAACTACTTAGCATCACAGTCTGTCATTCCCAAGACTATTAAGTATTCATTCATGTTCATTACACCACTTTCAAGGCAGAGCTGTCAAACTCATGGCCTGTGGGCCAGATGCGTCACGCACTGGCCACGCTCATGGCCAGTTTAGTGAAGGGGGGGAAGTCATGACACGTCACATGACAATGCCGTGATGACGTGAATTTGACACCCCTGATATAAGACATTAAAAAAACTTGTCATCGTTAACCTTCATAATTCATTGGTGTGTTAATCATGTCATTTGTCAAGCCATAGTTTGCGTAATCCTAGTTTGTTAAATTGTAATTATCTAGCTATACAGAAATGCATGGTTTATTCTCTAAATCAGAAACAAAAATCACAAAATGGTTTAGCAGAGTACATGAACCAGGTTTGAAGTTTCAAACATTACCATGATCCAAAGGTATCTGAACAGCAACCAACTGGAGAATGTAACACAATTTTGATTTCTCTAAAAAGTGGCAAAACCTACTTGTGATGCAAACTGTATCACGATGCAAGTATGAAATGATTGAGTTTGTGTTACAATGTCATAGCAGGTAATTTATCTTTTGACAAATGCTTAAGAATGGATGTCCATGAGCTTCAGCTGTTGTTGCTAAAAAGTGATAGAAAAATATAAGAGGAGAAATCTGATTGGATAAAATAAAGTTAAGAATATTTCAGATTTTCTTTCCTTTTCTGAGTCAAAATCAAGAGGATCATTTTTAGACAGTTTATGTGATCTAATTGAACACTTCTAGTCAACTGTGATTTAAAGGATCAGCTGTAAAATATTCTCCTCTAAGCCTTTTTACATCAGACATAACTGGAATTTGACTAATAAGTATATTTTTCAGGTTACTGAACTATGATTTAAAGAAAGAAAGAAAAATGATTTCAGTTTATCATTTTAACAATATATCCCTTTTTCTTCCTCCTATGTTAGATTATGGATTTGAAATTCCAGATTTATTTGTGGTGGGTTATGCCTTAGACTACAATGAGTACTTCAGAGACCTAAATGTAAGTTTTAGCCTTCTCGGTTTTCTGAAATAAGCTTTTTTTTAAAAAAAAAATACCATAGTAATTTATGAAGTGCTTCTGTGGCAGGATATTAGCAGAAAAGGAAAAGAAGAACAGGGGACAAATTAATATTGGCATGGTCAGACTACAAAGATTCTGTTTTTGACATCTTCAAATATATTGACAAAATATGTTGTCTGAAATCCTGGAGAATTTGTACTAGTCAGTGTAGATATGAGATTCAGGACTCATTGAGGCCCATCAAAGTCTTGAATATAGCTTCTAGGAACTCTTAACACAGTAATTTTTTAATGTGGCAGTAGGAAAAATCATTACATTCTTGAAGAGTAAATAATATTTAACTATATATAACTGATCTGCCTTTACCTAATTTGTTGGATCCTTGCTGGAATCTGGGAGAGATCTGAGGAATTCTACTCAAAAGCCAAAAGTATCTATGTACCCCAATGTAGACAATAATAAACTAAACAACCCAGTGACCCAAATGGTATTTAACTTCCTATGTTCCTGTACTTTGCATTTTCTAAGGAATGTAGTGTAGAGTTGGTTGTATAAATAATTTTGTCTTCAGTGAATGACAGTGTTAAACTTCTGTTGTTTCAGCACTTATGTGTTATCAATAACCACGGCAAAGCAAAATACAGAGTCTAAAGAATAACTAATCATCTTTGTCTGGAACATTGGTGGTCCTCATGATCATCACCATAAGAACAGATCAACTCATCTCATTCGGACTGGACCAAATATGGCATCTCCCCTTGGACCTTGGATCACCTTGGATTTTGACATAGTTGAACTCCTTTATTTCCTTCAGACTTCCTAGGATAACCAGGATAAGTCAAAGGCAGATATAATACAGTATTCTACGTCCAAAAGAATAGAAATTAGAGGTGAAAGAAAACTTGCCTATTAACTTTTTGTACCCTGCTTTGCCCAACCTTAACATGCCAGATTTGTTGGAGTTAAACTCCCATTGTTTTTAACCATCAAGGTTCCTTACCCTGTGTAACAAGTGCCTTTAAAAATGTGTGTTGAACACAACTGCACAATGATTAGTGGTCTCTGTGGGGCTATTATAGGAATTATTATATTTTAATGGTGCAGTTGTTAGCTCATTTTTCTTCAGACAATGTTGTAGTGCCTTTACTTAAGCTCTTTTTTAAGAGATTTGAATGCATAATTGTTACCATCTCCTTTCTATGACACAATCATTGTTGAGATATTTATTCTCACCCATTATTTAAAACTCAAAGGAGCAAAGACCTCAAACTAAATGATTTTCTCTGAACTCAATAGCTCTTTGTGAAACTCCTGAGATAATTTAGGCTGGTCAAAAATGGCTTTAGCCAATGTTTGAGTTCATAGAAGCAAACAGACTCCATTGTGGTTTAAACATTGTGTTTTGTATATCATTGCTTTTGTTTTAGTATTATGTGTAAACCATCTCACTATAGCATGTTCAGCTAAACATAGTTTTAAACCATTCCATGACTAGCAGGCAGGGAGGAAGTGCCATAAGTAAGCAAACAATTGTCTTCTTATTCAAAGTCCAGTATTATGTACACTATATTATAACCTTCTAGTATGCTTCAAAACTAATTTAGGATTTGAAATGATAGTAGTCCTAGTCTTACATTCTTAACCAGGGGAATTCAAAAGATGGCAATTTGTCATCTTTTATTTGTTTCAGCAGCTTCTTGCATTCTAAGGTTGATGGAAATTGAAATCTAGTATCTAGAGGGTAAGGACAATTGCTTACGCTTCATCTGATCTTAGTGTCATGCTGTCTTTGTTCGTCTCTTTGTCTTCTGCTTCTTACTTCCCCACAAAATTTGTTCCAATGCCACTTTATTCAGAGCTGCAACTCCTGTTCAGGGAATACAAGGATTAATTTGGAATCATTGGAATAATATAAGCAAGTATATTAGCACAGTAGATGATGAAAAATAGAATTTGCATACAATAAATGTTAAAAGTCATTGGCATTGTTACTGCTTTTGTGAAATATAACTGCAGTGGCTAATTATGTATTGAGCCTTTCCCAAATAAGCATTATCCAGATGCATTGGGACTGCAAATCCCAGAATTCATTTCAGGAACCAGGCTCTGGCAATTGGCTGGGGCCCCAATGTGGGCATCCGATTCTGGAAGCGGCTAAGAGAAGATCCTACCTCCACCCTATTGAACACATTGGTCCTTTTTATCCAGTTTGTTCTTAATTTTAATCTTTAACATTTAATGTACAATGTTTCATGCTTTTGACCTTCTAATTGTTTTATATTGCTATTATGATACTGTAAATTGCCCAAAAATCACTTGAGAGTCTGATAGGCAACATATAATTTTAATAAATAAATAATCATGCTAACACATCTAGAGATGTAAGATTAGGAAAAGCCAATGTATCGAATCTTCAGTTATCCTATAATAATAATTGAAATCATGTTTGAATTCTGGCCCAGATTATTTAATTGATAACCTTAATTTAGGTTATAGTTCAAAGCATCCCAATCAATTTATGGTGGAAATATTGGTCCAACAATATTTGGATTGATGGGACATTCCTGTTCTTCAGTTGTGACTCTAATACAACCTTGTAAGCCTCTTGGTGGCTTCCTTTGAGCTATAATTCCTTTGTAAAGCAAATAGTTTACTGTATTAAAAAAAATCTATCTAGGCATTAAAAGATAGAACTCTTACAGCACGATAACTTGTTTTCCTTTCATCTCATTCCTTGTGAATGGTTCTTTTTCATACATTTCTTCTGCATGTAAGGCTAGAAGGCAACTTTCTTAACAGTAGATCTTATTTAACACCGTGAAACTAAAAATGTCATTTAACACAATAGAGTTTGATTAAATATGCTGAAAAATTGTGTTTTCTGTGAATCAAAAAAGTTTCCCCATTTTCAGTGGTTGAAAACTAGCCTTTTCCTCTTCTATGTTTGGTAAGAATTCTTAGGTTAGGGAAAGAAATATGACTATATTTGTTTCTTAGTCTCTAAAAGCAAATTTGTAGATTAGTGCTCAGAATCACCAGGTGTTGCCATATCCCAGTTCCTGAACTATTAATTTATATTTGACTCCAACTGGTGGATTTCACACTTTAGATTAAAAAATAAGTCCTGTAAATTCAAGCCCACTATCAATCATTATTTTTACATTAGTGATTATAATTTTTCACTTAATTTGTTTTAGCACAGAAAAGATAGGTTTGGGGGTAATAAGGTTAAAGCAGGCATGTCCAAACCACAGGCTGCATGTGCCCTTGGACAACTACTAATGTGACCCCACAAGATCATAAAATATAAAAAAATAAAGGAAGTTTGTAATTGATATACATTATCTTTTAGTTAGAATAATACCAGAGCACTTCAGCTTTGTTTTCCAAATGGACTGCATAACCCATAATCTCTAACTGGGCCTAATGGAAATTGTAAACTATCGACACAGACTTAACTATGAGGAAGAAGATGCCTAAAGACTACTAACCACCAATATTCCCATAATAACTAACTATGGCCAAAGGTATTCTTAAAAAGTATTTCACTTTTTAAAAATTGGATTTTCTTTTCTTGTGCTTGTTTTTCATAACCAGTCTACTGATCCTTGGGGTGTAAATGCTGAAACAGCTAGAATTTTTACTGATCAAATGTACTTTGTTCCGAAAAAAGGGGAATCATTTTAAAACAAAACTTAATAATGTGTAAAGCATTTAAAGTACATTTGCCTTAGTGGGATTCCTATTTTTTACACAACTATCTCCAGGGCAATTTTGCATTTTTACTTTTGCAGGTAAAGAAGAAAGGCCATGGGCTTTTTATAAATGCTCCCAAAAGCTTCTTAGAGACAGCCAATTGTAAAAAAAAAAAAAAAGAAGAAGAAGAAGAATTACCAGCAAAAGATGTTTTGTTCTGAATAGCATTGGCCTTATTGTGGTTAGACTGGAGTTTCTACTAAACTAATAAACAGCATATTTTACTATCTTGCAAATTTCTTATGATTTCTCTCTTCTCTTTTAGCATAGATTTGCATACCAGCTTGAAGCTTTCACTTCAAGTAAATAAATGCTTTTTGGCAAAAACAGTGTAAATCTTTGCTCGTGGCTAATTCAAATTTTCCAGCATCTAAGTATTTTTGTATTTTTGTTTCCTATAAAAAGAGAATAAAGCAAATGATCATAATTATGGAACTTCAGGTGTTTTTCAGTTTTTCAATTTTTCCCCATGTTTGGTATTTTTACAAAATGTTGTCGCTATCTTAGGTTGGTTGGGTATGCATTTTTAGGCTAAAAACAGGTGGTTTTTTTAAAAGAAGAAAATTCTTTTGAAGTTATGAGAAGTTATGGCTTCCCATAACTTAGCCTTGGAACTTCAAGCATCGCAGCCGGTTCTATCTGGAGTGCGGTTAAAAAGAACGCATTCAAGCTCAAAAGGCATGCAAAACATATTTTCGGCGTATTCAGTATCAGAAGGCATGCAAAACATATTCTCAACCCATAAATAATCTCTTCACCATAACCATGAAAAAATAAATAAAAAAGTTTGTGCCTGAGAAATGACCGCCTTTGTATACACTAAACACACACAAGAGTTTGAGCATAAGTATTTTTTCCAATTAATATGTCGAATCAACATCAAACTTTATAACTTGTAAGCCACCCAGAGTCACTTTGTATGGACGGCATAAAAATTAATAATAAATACATGATTTCAGATGTAAAAGGTTAGATTCATTTTTATAACCTCGTATGAATTGTCATTATTTTGGTAGATAGTTTTCTGTACTTTAATAAATTGGCACACCTGAAAGTGAGGAAAAGCTCAGGCAGTCCGTCTGCCTACCTTAAGGCATATTACTAAATTGAAAATGTTTGCCATTGACTACTGTTTTAAAAAATGCATACAATTTGTCTCCTCTTTCTGAGGATAGAGATACTATTGTCTATATTAATCATGGAGAGATATTTGAGGTGATGCACTTTCTACTAAACAATTAAAAAATTCTCAAGGCACAAATATATATATGAAGATGACAATGAATACTTTAGTCTCATACAGATAATAATACTTAAGCTTTGTTACTTTCCTTTCATGCAGCTAGTGCTAATACTGGCGTTCCACCTGTACTGACTATTACTTATGCATCTCATCTCCAGTAGGAACTTGAGCATCATATACTCCTATTTACAGCTGCTTGTTTACTGCAATCCTCATCAAAGGCTCTTAGGTTTGCATCATATCATACAGATGGTTGTTTGACATGAACAATGAGGATAAATTATAGATAGTAATATAATAGATGAAGCATACGGTGGCATATGAATGATTATTACCAAGAAGGAAAAATAGGAATAATAAACTCTTCCAGCTCAATTGTTGTAGTCTGCTGAAATAAGATCTTCAGCTAAGCAAAAATAAAAGCCATAACAGTCTTAGAAATGTCTCCAAAGAAAAACTGCACCCTTTGAACTGTGACTGCAGTGATATTGATGAGGCACTTGGACATCTCATAATGCAACATGTTGATGTTGATAAGGCATTTGGGCATCTCATAGTGCAGAATGTCCAGATTCAACCTCAGCTTCTCCACATAGAAAGAAAAAAACTCTACACTGAAATCTTGAACTGCCTTTACTAGTTACACTTCAGGAACTAATGGTCTGATTTAATATGTATATATATACTGTATATTTAAATGGTCTGGCTTAATATGTGTTTCACAGGGTTCATACTGTAAATTGTTCCAATCACAGCTAATTCTGAGCCATGTATTCTATATTCTTTATCAATCTGGTAAAAACAATGCATATTTGAGTGAGATAGAAGAACTGGAAATCCTAAAAATAACAATACATAGGAATATATACTGTAATATTGGAAGTTGATCCATTCAATAGTCACTAAGCTAAAACAACTTCTGTTAAGACCCACAACATTTACAAAATATGTATGTTTTAAAGAACTTTCTCAATGCAGTACTAGGAAGGGTCTCTTGGGATAATCTGACAGCTAGCTTGGTCTGAAGGTTAAGGCACCAGGCTAAAAACCAGCATACTGTGAGTTCTAGTCCTGTCTTTCCATGAAAGCTAACTGGGCCAGTCAACTCTATCTCAGCCCAACTCATCTCACAGGTTTGTTGTTGGGAGGAAAAGGAGTACTAGGTATATTTGCCATCTTACGTTATTTAGGTTAAAGGCAGGATTTTTAAAAAGTCTAAAAAATTCCCAGGGGAATGTACCATAAAAAGGAGGCAATAGTTGAGAAAACTCTCTTTCATGCTCTCTGAATATTGCAACACTTAAGGAAAAGCATATGGAGTAAGTCCACATAAGAAGATCTTATTGGGATCATAGATACTACTTGAAGAAAGTGGTCCTGCAAATATACAGCTTCCCATATTTCTTCTAGTAGCCAAGAAGCTTGGGAAATTACACATACATGCGCACTATAGACCAATCCTCTCATTAATTAATCTGAATTAAACTGCCCTAAGGATACATTTTGGAGATGCTCTATTTATAATTGTCTTCTAAACCCTGAAAAACATTAAATGTAACTATAAAACTAGCTTGTCCAACAGGCTGGAGAGAAAAATGGTACTGAAGGAGGGTTTTTTAGGGGACTTGCCTGATCTGTGCCTTTAATAAAAATTTCTGCCATCAGGATGTGATTTTCATTGCTTCCAGTTAGCATGGAAGAAGAATCGCTCCTTGAAGAAGCTATTAATTCTCTCTTGAATGTAGTCTCATAATTGTCCCTGGATGTCATTTTCTGTTTGTGCAAAGGAGAGG